AGAAGAATGAGTTGCTTAATATATTCCAAAAAGGAGAAAAAATAAAAGAGGGGACACAATTCCAACATGCTGAACAATAAAGGGTTCTTTTTCCTTGTGTTTTTCTTTAATACAAAATACAAGCGAAGGATACACATACTTAAAACAGAGCTCAGGAGCAGGTATGCAGTCCTGGGAACCCTTTCAATAAAAGCAAAGCAGGGTTTTGTTAATTTTTTTTCTTTCTTTCTTTGCAGGTACATACAGAGACTGGAATATGTAAAATTAAGTAGCACAAAAGACCATCACACAACTCTACCAATGAATGTTGCATCTATAAATTCACGAACATGGTCAACAGTCATGTTCACTTCAACCCCTTAAAAAAAAAAGTGTTGTTTTTATTTTAAATAAAGCATTAATGTTACATTCAGACTTAACTCCTAGTACCATGCGGTAGATCTCAGTCTTGTCAAGGTATTGCAAGAATCACCAACCCTATCGTGCCCAGTAGCACTGAACACCATTTGCAGCTGCCCCTTTGCCTGTTCTTATTAAAAAAAAAAAAAGTTAAAAGGGATAGGGAGGGGAACTGCAAAGAGCCTGCTTTTTAGAAAAGCTGAACAGGGGGTTGCAAATACTCAAGACAAATATTCGTTGCATACCATATAACGATGCCTTGCTGATAGCTGAAGGCCCAAGGCCCTACCTGGAGTCTCCTCCTCTACCTTCACGGTGATTATTCAGGGTTTGCTGTGACATGATGTTCATAGTTTAACAAAAATTATGTAGCTCTTATTTACACTTTTTTTGTAACAATTGCTTCTGCAGGAAAAAAAAAAAAGTAAAACTCACAAATCTTTAGAACACAAAGGGAATAAGATGTCAGACACTCCCATGCGCGCACTCACACCCGCGCACTCACACACAAAATACTTCAGGGGCTTTTACACACATTATTCTGGCTTAAGCTGATTGAGTATTTCTCCATCCCACCCATTACCCCTCCCAAAATATATATATAAAAAACCCTTGCCCCAATATACAAAGCATATGCACAATGGTGTTTTGCAGTCACACTGAGCATGCTCAGGCCGATGGACCCACTCGATTCACCGCGGCTGAAGGGGGCAGGCAGTCTAGAGAGTCGTTTCCAATAGTGGTTGATGCACAGAGTCAGCACATGTGAGAACCTGGCTAGACTTAGAAATATTTGTGGTTTGTTTTTAATATAAAGAGTTCAATGAAGAGACATTCAAATGCCAGTCACCTACTGAAGTGGGGAGTCTAAAACAAGGATACACTTGATTTGGGGAGGTCTCGAAAGGACACTGTCATCTTTCGGAGCTCTGATATTCCTCATAGTACTTTTCAAAAAAAAGTCACCTTAGACAGTAAGAACAGAATAGTTAACTTTGCTTCCTAGTTTCATTAGCAGAACTTGTATTTAAACCTCCCCAAACTGCAGGAAAATATTTGAAGTTCAGGGAAAATTTTCTATTAAATCATATACATATAGAATATACATTTTCCACACATAGATGTGAGCCCCCCAAACTAACATATCCTATATGCCAGTAACTGTTTTGTGACAGTGTCCCTTCAAATATCCATTTGCTTACATTTTCATGTCCTGCCTCCCCCAACAGATGAATGTCCACTTCGCAAATACTCAACTCATGGATCAGTTTGTAGTTTTTAAGAACCATGTGTTCAACAATATGATCTGTTATAAAAATAAACACTTCACAAACAAATTACATAAAGCAAAGCACCAGTTTCTACAGCTCAAAAGCTTCCAGCATGTTACAGTTTACTTCCCTCCCTCCTTAACCTGGGTGCCTCAGTGTCTATTGTACCTTTGTGACCATCACCAGTGGAGGGGAACAAAAAAAAAAAAATAAAAAAAAGAAAAAAGGAATTCAAGCGCATCTTCTGCCATTGCCTTGGCAGTCCATCACCTGCGGAGGCAGCCGTGCGGTGGCACAGGAGCCGAGCACGCTCAGAACCAGCCCCCAGCACCAGTGAGGTTCTCGTGCTGCTTCTCGCCCCAGCCACTCTTCTGCTCTGACGAAGTCAAAACAACAAAATTAAAAGCTTCTCGGCTGCCCCACTTCTAAGTCTTGCTCTCACTCACAATCCATTCTGAAACCCATTTAGCTTGACACATTTGGCATTCTCATGCTGATCAAACAGAATCTGAAGCAAATAATCTTTAGTATGAAATTCCAACTGAAATTGCAGATTTTTACTGATCAAGCCTTGTGGCCAGTTAAAGGCAGTACTATTGGCATATAACTGCGAAACTGTATGTGGCGGTGTGGATTCAGAAGCAGAACGTACGAAAGGATACATCATGGAAGTTAGTTATGAACTACCATTTTAAGAGTAAGACCAGGGCAGGGCACTAGATTAGCTAAACTTTGGAATAAATCCATTTACCTCTCTGCAAAGGCTCCCAAACTACAGCTGTGTAACAGAAGACAATCTTTTCACAGCATTCCTCTGTGAATGAAACTTTCTGCTCCGCGAAGAACTAGTCGTGCTCCTTAAGAAAGGCGTTTTTACAGCTTTCCTTCAAGAAATCAGAATGCTTAATACAAATTAATTAAAAAGGACATTTACAAATGTTAAGTCTGCCGGTACTGAAAAATGTTGTGTACTAAAAAAAAACGTATTAATCTTCACAATCTTCTTCTATCTGTAAAAATGCGAACTGCTGTATTTCTAACAGAGTAACCAAGAGACCGTTAGGGCTTAGTGTTTGCACAAATCAGCAAAACAGTAAGATATAGAAAAAATTACAAAATCCCAGTAGTAGTACAGGATTTCCATAGTGTTTGGGTTGTGACAAACTCAAAGATAAGCATCATTCAGCCTCTAACAGCCATGAGAATGAACACACCAGAAAGCAGAACAGTTTTGTAAGATAAAGGGCCAAAATTGACAGGCATAAAATAATCCAGTCCAAAACCTGAACTGAACAACGGAAACATATTTTTCACAGCCTTAACTTCAGTTAACTGTGTTAGAAAAAAACCCAAAAATACATTTTAAGTGGAACTTACAAAATACACTCTTCAGCAAAAATCTGGTCTAGCAGTTGAAGAAACAGCTGTTTGGCCAGATCAGCCAGAGGTGTTCTACATTTAAGTAATCCTTGTACATTTTAATATCAAAAAAACCCTAAGAACCCAATAGACAAGAATAGCTTGAAACATCATCTGGATTGAGAGGAACTATGTGGACCATTCACAAAAGTGTACACTACTCCCAAACGTAATCCAAACGTTTTTTAAAACCTGGCCATTTGTTTTCCCGTATTATCCAAGAAGCACTGGAGTAGGAGTGGAGGGAATGCAAGGGACTCTGCTCTGCCAGAGTTCTGGAAGGTGGGAAGGGGTATGGGACAGGAAAGGGGATTACATTCACTTCTTTTTCAAGACTGATACTTTACTCCAGCCTTAAGCTGTTCTGCAAAATTAAACCACTTGAAAAAAAGATTTACAATGGAAACACCGATCATCTTTATTGTAACGGCAACAGTAGTTTCATTATAGTAAAGAATGTTAGAGAACTTAAATTTTTATAAGCCAAGGTAAAGTATTTACCAGCCTCAATAAAATCCATGGCTATGAATCACACAAGACAATCACTTGGCTGTTATATTAATATTCCTTTCCACATTTTAGGCTCCACACTGCGCTCAGCATCTTCAGGCTCCCTACACCATTCAGCCAAGTGTCCTTCCTGGTCATATTAGTGTATCACATCTAAAAGCTCTCTAAAATCCAAACAGGATTAAAAATCTGGTAGCATGTGCACCATAAATCCAACTAATTAGCTGCCTTATGTTACCTTCAAGAGGCTGGTTACAAAACATGTAGTTTGTGACAAAAAAGATGCAAAGGTTGTCAGCTATAACTGTGAGCAACATACAGAAAGCATAAAGGGTTTAAGAAAAAAAAAAAAGAAGAAAGAAAAATGGCAGGTCCAGTTTTCAATATTTCCACCAACAAACATGGCAGCAACCTCTGTATTTGAAAACCAAGGCTTGTGTACTTTAATTAAAGTTTAAAAAAGGATATGGCTTCTTTGATAAAAACACATTAAAATGCCACCACACACATCTCAAGTGTCCTGCATTTAGAGGGACATCCTGCTTTTACTATAAAACAATAGCCCTGCTACACTGCTTCCAAACTCCGCTTCCTCCCAGCTTTACCCTTTAATACTGTTCCCTATTCAGCACTTCTTAGGCTTAGGGAGCAGAACGATGACCAACAGTCAGAAGCAGACATGTCGACATGGGAGCAAAGCCTCCCCCACTGTAGGATGGAAGGATGACGAAATGGAAGTGGTATTGGGGTGACATTCGCTATCGATGGAAGTCTGCTGTCCCACACTGCAGCTGGAGCGGCTGAGAGGTATGACTACATAGCCTTTCCAAGGACAGATGGAGCGAGAGAAGAGAAACACTTAAGCGTGACTCATGGGATCCGAGACTGACCAGAGCATTACAGGAATCCTTTGCTTCACATTTATAGAAGGACATCCCTCGCCCCAAAAGCTAGAGAATTTAGTTTTACACTACCCATCAATTTTTTGCCTTGGAAAAAGTTTAAAGGCATTTTCCACAATACCAAATGGAAACCAGAGTTTTAAAAATTGATTTCAATTTCTCTTCCCTATTCTGCCCATCTATAGCCAAACCTTGGAAGAAATAAAATAGAGCTAATGGACGCGATAAGCCTGTAGGTTCTATATCTGAATTTGTATAGAATGAACTGCAATTTGCCTAAAGCAGAATAGTATTCTATCCAGCAAAGACAAATGATCTCATAACCTAATTGGAGGGTCTTTTCTAAACAAGACAGTTGCTCTCCATGAAAAACGTGTCTGAATCCAAGAAACACAGGTTTCCTCCCCATGTTTCCTCTTCCTCAACTGTAATTATAATCAACTACATTTTTTCTGAGAGTGAACTTGTATCAACAAAAGTCTGTTAAAGCATAGGTTCATTTTTTCCATATATTCAAATACAGCATAATAATTGTAAAGAACTCTTACCAGCACTGGGAAATCTATTCTACTCAATGATTTGTAAGTATGGTTTCCATGTATCAGTCTCAAACCTTATTGCTTCACAACTGCAGTATCCCTTGGAAAAAATATATATTTAAATGGTCTGTTAATTTGTCTCAAATGGCTTTCAGATTTGGTGGGGGAGGGAGAACGGAATGGCCAACAGAGAACAGTGACTTCAAAATATTACTGTATAAGGGTTTCCTCTTATTAAAAAAAGGATACACTGTATTAAACAGCTGAAAGTAAAGACAGCATTCAAAGCCCATGAGTCAAGCCACAGCCAAAACCGTGTTCTACCCCTAAGTATGTTTTCTTTTCCTTTTTCTTTTTTTTCTTTTTTTTTTTAAACAAAGATTTCCTCAACTGCCATTTAATCTTCACCAGAGGGTGCTTCATCTTCAGATCCCTCATCCCCTGACTTCTCTGGTGGAGGGCTGGCTGACTTTTTCTTTTCTGGAGGACTTTCAGGCTCTTCATCCTCTTCTTTGGGGGATGGGGTCTTTTCTTTTGTTGCCTTGGAAGCTGTGGGGCGGCCTGCCTTCCCTTTGCCTTTCACCGGACTGGGGGTCACTGAAAAAAGAAAAAAAATTATAGAAGTTATCATCAGCAACAACAACAAAAAAAGTCAGATGGCTTTACACAAACAGGAGTGACAAAACACTTCAGCAGCAGGTTTCATTTTGCTTTGACCGTATCACACACATGGTGTTTTTTGCACTCTGTATTACTAAGCCTGAACTGAAAAGTTAGCTAGCAAGATTTTAAAACTATTTAACTGCTAGTCCTGACTAATTACTGGATATGACATCATAAACTAACATAGCTAGACTCTTGTCAAACCAGTACACACGTTGCTATTACGATTTTAGACTTCCTGCAGAAATGCATCAAACTTTCCTTTTGGTTCAGGTTTCTCCACCTCCCTCCACCCTGAAAACATCACAGTCCGTGAATCCCAAACAAAGCCACAAATCGCATTATTTGGCTATGAAACATAGCAACTCAGACTGCAGCACCTCAACAGGGAAGGTTTTGCAATCTATGCGGTTTTTGCCAACAAGACGCAGATACTAACTCAGTCTCTTGATCAAGTAAGAATTAAAGCCACCTTATTATTTCATAGTGCTGCTTTAAATTAGCCCTTCAACATTCTCTGTGAATGCCTACTGATCTCAAGACTTCCACCGAGTCTTCTACAGTAGAAAAAGAAGACACTAGCCTTTGAAGCAAACTGCATGACCTTCCTTCCATAGACTCACCTGTAGCCTTTAGCCTGGGCTTCGGCATTTTCTTTTCTTTCCTCTCTGGCTTGGATTTCTTGGAGACTTTTTTATTTTTCTTTTTTGAACTGCCATAGTCGCTATCATCATCATCTTCCATGAGGAAGTCTTCATCGCTTCCTGAATCTGCTGAAAGCAGAAAGAAATTTAAGTTTTTGGAAAAAAGGAAAGGGAACAGAAGATACAGTTGAAAGATCTGCCAGTTAAACTGCAGAGACAGGAAATTCTGACTCTGTGACCTTATGAGCTTCCATCTATCCACTGTACTAAAGAAATTTGACATAGCAGGTAAGATTTTTACATTGGTAGGGATAAAGCACTATTATGATGAAACAGGCAAGTGTTTTGAGGTCCTCAAAACATGCTCTGTCTCCTTAGTAAGTAACCCATCTCAAAATAAAGAGAGCCTCTTGACAGAGAGAAGTTAAGTGATCTGGTACTCTTCATTCTGAAATCATGCTTGAACTTTGTATTTCAGGAAATTACTGCAGTTCGTTACCCACTGAACCCGTCTCTTCTTAGGAACTATACCCATGTCACACTGATTTCAACTTTTTACAACCCCATGTACTCACTTTCCTGGAACTGTGCCTCATCATCCTCTTGCTCTTCCTCCTCACTACCCACATCATCCATTAGCATTTCTCGCTGTTTAGAAGCTGCTTTGGATGCTGCCTGTCGTTGCTGACGCACATTTTTGTGGTCTTCTTTCTCGTCCTCACTGTCCTCTGCAGCAAAAGTCACCAAGTTATAATGAAGATACAGAATACAGACCACCTTTCTGGAGGTAGCACACGGGCAAGACAAAGGTCAAGTCATTTGTGAGAAAATTCATCAGAACACTCGATGAATAACTGAGCTGTGAGCAGAACAGGGTCACATTCAACCTAATATGCACATTTCTGTAGCCGCCCAACAGTGATCCTGTGCAGTATCTTTTGCTGCAAAGACTAGCAATTGGCAACTTTTTTCCTTTTTTTTACCTGCAGGCCTTTTCCTGGATTTGGAGGCTGGTCTCTTATTTTTTTCTGGTTTAGCCTTTTTTCCTTTTTTGCTTTTTTGCGAGCTCTCATAGTCACTGTCAGCTTTGCCATCATCTGCTCCTAAGTCATCATCTTCACTGCCAAAATCTTCGTCTGGAAGGAAAAGGTATGAATATGAAGCTTCTTGTATCATTCTGAAATATTGACAAGAACTACAGGGAAGATCTTAACATACATCTATCTACCCGTGAAGACAAACTTTATAGCAGCATCATATTACACACACACACACAAAAAATCTGTTATCCCAAACCACAGCCAGAAGTAGCAGCAGTAGAGGCAGCATCCACTTAAGACAAGTCTATTAGAAAAGTGCGTGCTTCTCTAGTCAGAAAAATTTCTTTCTTACATCAAATCCTACTCCCCTGCCTCTTACAAACAGGTCTTTATTTTGAAGATACACTATCAGTCAACGTAGTTAGTTACCTGCCGACTGTGAATCATCTTTTTTAGTCTTCACATCTTTGTCTTCTGAATCCTCACTGAAAATGAGAGAAAGACAGGGTTTGACTACTGTTTTAACTGATTTCAGTCACTGCTGTATGGAAAATATCGATTTTCAGAGAGCAAATTGGTATCTAGGCTGTGAATATGCACTTTTCCTGGACATTACCACATTATACTTCAGGATTACTCAGCTGTGTATGTAGTTATCGTGGTTGGAAAGATAATGTTCAAACTCTGAATCACATACAAACTTCACACAGAGTCAAGTGAACCAACCAGGAAATAATACGGTTGAGATGGATCATGCACTTCACTCCGAAACCTACCAATAATGCAGATGCCTGCCATTTTACAGAATTTTGAAGTTTTGTATCCTAATGAATGGCTGAATCTACAGATGGAATAAAGTTTTATTCTGAACAGATTTATAGCCAGAACTTGTCTTTAGGATATTGTTTTCTTTGAAATCTTTCACTCTGTGCACATTGCTATATAGTAGATAACCAGCACGTATTTGGTCTACAAGCTCCCAAACAATCTGATCTCTCATGGAGTTTCACCGCTCCCTTTAGTGGTTTCAATCCTCAGGGGGTTCCCCTATCACAGGGGTACTAATCTTCTGCTCTTATCCAACTCCCATCACTAGTCCTCACCACTGTCCAGAGAGGGTTCTCCTTCCAGCATGTGTAGGAACATGCACTCCAGTCAGGGAGCAAACAAGTGTTTTAAACAGGAATGATGAATACTCTGTTGTTGAGGGCAACTGACATCTGCTTCAGGAATGGCTGAAGTGCGGAGTTTGCCAAGGTCAAGACGTGCAATAGACCAAACCTTTCCTACTTTCAAATTCGGCAGCTGGAGCTGACACACAACATCTCTCAAGAACTCTTAATAGTTTAGACAACCTGTCACATTACAGCCCCTCAGGCCCGTTTGTCTTCAGTCCGATAGAGACAACTGTGGATTTCAATCACTTAAATGCATGAGTTTGTTTTACATGCAAGGCCTCTGCAATGTTTGTGATACATACAGAAGTGTTCTTACATACTTAAAAGTCTCCAAAGCTAATAGGACAGCAAAGTTAACTATCTAGTTGCTTTGGGAGCTGCCTAGCCAAATTTCTTTACATGTCATACCCATTAAATCTCTGATTTTGGGTGTTCTAGGCATTTTCCAGGGTGAAAATAGTCTCTCCCTCTCAGTTCACAGTAGCAGGTGGACCATGCAAATACTCCCATGCCTGCATTAGCTTTCACCATCTAGAACATGAGCACGATGGGGAAGCCTCTTACGCATACCTGCTGGTAAGTTACCCATATTCCAGCAAACAGTGCAACAGAATAGAGACACTTTGGGCTTACAGAAGAACCATCAGCTGGCAGAAATGCCATCCCTCAAGTTGATGTGTGTCGTGAAAGCAGTCTAATGACTTCATAGACGTTATGGCAATCACTTGCTGATCATAGGTATTGTAAAAAGCAAAACGCCCTCGCTCTCCAGGACAGACTTTCACTATTCAGTACGGCATCATTTAGCACTGAGTCCTTTCACACTGCTGGAGCAACTCAGTTATCAAAATGCGTTATTTTGCTTCTGAATTAGACAAAACAGGAAACGGGAAACAAAGAACCACGAAACTAACAAACGGTCCCTACTGCCAAGTGCCACTGCACCGTCCCATTTAATCTTTAACCACAGGAATGCTCTGAGAATACAAGAACATCATGGAAAATTAAATGCATCTTGCCACTAACCTACCTGGATAATTGCACTAGTTACCAATTTTTGTAACTCAGATCATATTCCTTCCCATTCTGTCTAGCTCTGGAAAGCTATTTTAATAATGAAGTACTAGTGACAAGCACTTGGCACATGATTTCTCTGTCTACTCGAATAAGAAAGAACCACCTCAATGTCCAAGCTGTGTATGCAAGCTTTGTGATTGAGAGCTCTGTATCTTACACTGCAGACCTTGAATTCCACTTACAATCAATCCTCTTAGAAGATACTGCTCCCCATATACAGGACAAGGCTTGGAGACATGTTCGTAACAGATGAAGTGCTTCTTTTACCTGTCCTCCTGAGAATTCTTCCCAGATCGCCTCTTATTTTTAGCCTCCCGGGGAGACGAACGGATTTTCTTGGATGGGGGACCTGAATCTCTTCCATAATCTTCATCTGGACGGGACAGTACAAAATGGTTTTGAATCAAACGCCTAGTTCCCAGCAAACTGACTTCCTCAGCTATAACTTAAACTGACCATTTCATGCACATCAAAAAGAAGCCCTTCAAAAAAAACAAAAATCACAAAGCTTCAAACAAAACTTTATAGAAGCAAAGTCCTGTTTTAAACTAGCAATTTACCTTTTCTTCTGCCAACAGCACAATAAAAATGCCACACACAATCAAGGGACACAGGAGTAATAGAAAACATACAAAAAGGCTCACAAGAAGACACAGTATCTCATTTTACAGCTAGTCAGAACGAGAGTTATCATGTAAACCTATTAAAAGTTAACATTCATACATATTTCTACATGCTTTTAACAGCAAACACCATTTACTGTCCTATGTTAGGAAAAAAAGTACGTCGTTACATAGCAGTTTATGGCATAACTTTTTACAACTATTACACAATACCTTATACAATATGTGTAACAGGACTCCAATTAAGACCTACGCATATTTGTTTCCATTAATTACCAGTGCAACCTCACTTAGCAAACAGTAGCAGTATGTCTATTTTCTAAGAACACAAAACATATTCCATATGGCTTCCAGAAATATTTCATTAATTCACACAGAACAAAGATTATTTTTTTTTAGATGCAATTCACAAAAATGCCTGACATGATGGGATTAACTAGAGTCCACCAAAATAAATTGAAAACATATTTTACTGCAGTAAAAAGTGGCATCAGGGAGATTCTGCCACAGAACATAACATAGACCAAGGAAGAAGACAGTTGCTGCCAACAGCCTCAAGGCATTACAACAATACAAGCAGTAAATAATGAGATTTCTATCACCATTGTTTGTTTAATACAAAACATATGAGAATCATTATATTTTCAAATACTTATTAACAGTTCAGAGACTGAGAACAGCAGAAACTCCTTAGAATTAAAGATGTGACTAGAAGCAAAAAAAATAACATGCAAAGCAATAAATGAACTGCTCTAGCCCAAGAACATTATACTGTTAAGAAAAAAGTCATTTACCAGCATCATCTGATTCCTGAAACTGGGAGTAATCGACCACCTTCCTGTTCCTGTTAAAAAGCAAGGAGGGAAAAAAGATTAGCAATTCATAATCTCAGAGATACAAAAGCTTTCTTCAAGTAACAAGAAAGTGCCACATCCTTGCTTGCAGTGCAGGATTTGTAGTCCAAAAACATCCCAGAAAAACTCTCATAAACAAGCGACCTACACCTCTGAAGCAAAAAATAAATACAGAGTACATTCTAGCATTTTCCTAAGAGTCATTATAGACTGGATTATATTCTCACAATTTTACAGTGCTTTTTTGTACGTAGCACTCTCTTACAGCTCATGACTGCAGTGAGAAAGAGCCATCTTAACCCATGCTACACGGTTCTTTCATTATATATCACTATAGTAGTGAAAGCGCTGTTTTAAAGCGGTGTCTGCACCCAAAGATTAAAGACTCATTTAAAGAATGCATCAGCCTGAACTTAAGCCAGAGCTCCCCCTAACACCCTGTCTCAAAGCTGTGATACTTCAGACTAGGATTCCAGGTATGAAACAAGTACACTAATATTATAATGAATTAGACAACTGTTTCCTAACTGCTCTTTTTTGAATTTCTGTTTCTCACAGCTCAATGTAATCATGCTTGCTCTCATACCTTCTCCTCGTCATTTTTGTTTTCCCATGTGTTCCCTGTTTCTAAAGCATTTTAAGTTTTCAGCAGGGGCTTCTAGGAGCTTTCTCAATTAGTTACTTTGATGCTCTAACAAGATGTCAGAGAGCTGTTACAATGCTTAACTGTATCACTAGGCACAACAAGGGAAGAAGATAAGCATTCTACCCAACCTACGTTTTTGGACAGCGAATGAGCATGGACCTGTACTTTCTTTACCTTATCAGCACCTTCTCTGCTCTAACCAAACCAAAAGTAGTGCAGGTAACGAGGTATCATTAACAGTGCAAATGCAATGGCCAATTCTAGGCAAAATTAGTTAATTACACAAGCAGCTATTACAGAAACCAATGCCTCACTTGCAAAAAAAAAATCAGATCTGTTTCTCTGACTTGTCAAAACCTAAAAAATGAAACGTAAGTACTTGCTGGCTACTTTCTCAGCACCTGTCCCAACTATTTTATTGACAAGACAGAACTGCCCTGCAATACAGCTACTCAAGGGAACCAAGACAGTGACATAACTGAATTCTATTTAAGTTCTAGCTGATAATGCCCAAGTCAAACGCAGACCCCAAGCACCCACCTCTTCAGCTGACACGCAACAGGAGGCGGCGGCACAGCTGAAACAGGCACCAGAGATCCAGACACCCCTTCACACACACTTTTTACAATCCCTTTGATCCAAAGCCAATGCTGACCTTGATTTTGTAGCAATCATCACGTGAACTCACTTTTACAGCTAGAAAAGTCAGGCAAGCGATAGATTGAGTGACCCACCCAGCACCACAGACTTGGGGATCACTGCAACCAGAAGCCAACACAAGCCCCATCCAGCACACCGACCGCAACGCCCTTCCCCTCTCCCGCACTGCAGAGCGCGACTGTTGAATTTCACATTCAGTTCCCACAACCAAAGTGCACTTTGTGATTAACATCACGCACTGTTGATCAGACTGTTTAGTTGAAAGACACCCCAAAAGCCATTGTTGCGTTCTGACTGTTTATCCACTTGAAATCAATAAGTTACTCTCTTGTACAAGTACCTCTATTCATGGCTTACAGCAGCAGCCTTCAAAAGATCAAGGAGCATAATTATTTTATTTTAACCCTACACCAAGCCTCTTAACCCCTCCCCAACCAAAAAAAACAAACAAACAAGCAAACAAAAGGAAGACAAGACCAGTCATTAGATTAGATTTCTACAGGCTGAATCTCATCCAAGCTTCAGAGTACACGTGAGTGGAACAAAGTACAACAGCAATGTGCTACAGAGCCCTGCTTGCTCACTCGCAGTCTGAATGTGGTAAAATACCAATTTAGGAATACAGCTACTGGCAAGGCTTGTTCTGGTGCACCGTCCAGGGATTCTAATTCCTCTTCTAACAGGTAGCCTTCCTCAAGATTACCTCCTAACCCATCTCACATGCAAACCCAGTAATTTTGTTCTGCTAAGCATCTGAAGAACAACAAAGTTACTAAATAAGATGTTTGATTTGGTGTAAGTATCAGGTATTAGTGGTTTTTTTCTTCTAAAAGTGTAAACAAGGGGAAAAAAATAAAACTGCCACATACTCTGTTCTAGCAGCTTTGTAAAAAGATGGTTTCTGACATCACTTATCTAACAAGCAAGATGGAAATTGCAACATTGCCACCTTGTAGTGAGTTGGTCATACAGAGTTTCACCTTGCTTATTTCAGTCAGAAACCCATTTAAATCAGGTACTGAAAATGTAACACAGGCAGACAAAACTTTAACTGAAAACAATGTCTACCTCCTTCCTCTTTCTAAGCACCACAGCCTATTGTTTTCAGCTAGAAAGTAAATCTCGCTGGGCTCTCATTACCTAGTGAACAGGACTAGTGATATTTGTATCCAGGAAAAAAAAAAATATCACCATGGTAGAAGAAAACAAGAGAAGGCAGTCTGACTTGCTTTAGTTATTTTGCAGGGCAAGGAGAAGGGTGGAGGAAAGAAGGAATATCTGCACTGATATTACCGAAGATAGAAACTTCGAAGTCTTCCCAACAGAACCAGCGAAGCTCACCAGGGCAGAAATATCAACACCAAACTGCTCTGGCATCTGCTGTTCTCCTCACCCTATATTCATCATTCACCCTATTTAGATCAACTTCTGTTTTTCTTCAGACCTGTCAGCAACACTGATGTGCAATACTTTATGAGTTTGCAAAGAGAGACTGCATCTTTTATTACACCAAGGTGACAAAACCACAGTAGATAACTTCACTGGTGTTAAAAGCCAGGAAAAAAAAATATTGCTGGTTTTGTCAATGAAGAGTATCTCTCTGCCACTAACAAAAACTAGAGGATGTTAATTAAGGCAAGAAACCAGACATAAGAGTAAACTATTTGTTAAATTCAGTTAGACTGAGCATAAAAAGGCACTCTAGTAGACATCTGGGATGGATATTGCTCAATCTGGTTTAAAATATGCACTAAAATTTTAAGATAATTTACTGGCTAATTCAACTTAACATTTAAAACACCCGTGAGAAGGAAATGGGGGAGGGAAGGTATAGAGGTCCCGACAGCGTAAGTTTTTAGCAACAGGTGTCAGTCCAATATTTCTGGAATAAAGAGCAACTCATCTAGTCAGTCATCAACACGTTACGTCAGCACTAACTTAGCGAAGTAATACTCAAGTAATTCAGTAAGAACTCAGAAATGCACAGTAATTCTTACAACCCATACTTCATGCCTACCAAACTGAAATTCCGAAATTATGAAAAGCAACATTAACATTCAAAAGGATCACGAAATGCCTATACAATGGAATAAAGATTGTGTAGTAATACCCAATCTTCTGCTAGTAAGGTCCCTAAACCCTTAGTCTTTGTAAACCAACTCCTCAGAATACAAACAAACAATCAGTTAGAAAGCTTTTGTTTTGTTAAAAGGGAATGCTTAGATCCCCAGGTATTTCCACAGGCATTCAAATACACAGATAAAAGTCCAAGTTTAAAAAAAAATACACATACAACTAAAAAGCAACGCTAGAAGGAGTCTTCAGAAAGGTAGCAACTGATCTTATGTGCTGAGGAGGAATGTTTAGGTCAAACAATTGCCTCCAGAAGTAACAACCTATCCTCTTTTACAATAAGGCAAGTAAAATGAACAACAGATTAAATGGTTACTGAGATTTTATTTAACCAATATAACTGTCAAACTAAGTATTTGTAAAAAAAGTCCTGGACCTCTCTTCTCACATCGCAAAGGCTGCTGCGAGTCTGGCCCGGAGTGGTCAGTTTCACTTTCTGGTTCTCATTCTGGTTGGTAAAGGCATCTCACTTTGAGGTCAACATGTTATCAATAAATATTACCATTAAAAGCACCCCTTTGGTGCCTTTTTTTATATGTAGATAGGAAAAAAAAGACAGATAGGAAATATTTCTTAATGGTATTCTCAAAGCTGTGCAAAACAAATAACGCAGTGCTAGAATGAGGCCTTCAATAAACAGATATTCACTTACAATTTGCGCATCAGGAGTCAAAACATCAAAGCCTAGTGACAGTTATGGACCTAAAACACGTCACTATGGTGTTAGTCTATTGAAAAATCGGCACAACTGTACTCAGACAAGACTCACCGACTAGAGGTTCCCAATTACAGAGGTCATTGTTTGGGTCTGGACTTGGTGTAACTCCAAACGTCTGTAAGACTAGGCACTGCTCATGGTATCTGCAGAATTTTTAGGGATACACATGACTTGAAACTCCATAAAACAATGAAATGATTTATGCAGCAACAGTTTAAGCAGTCTTGTGCCCATCCTCCATTTGAACCTAACTACAATTGAGAAGGTTTAAAAATACCATATAGGAATGTTCTGATGCAGAGCAGGACAGGGGGAAACAAACCCCAAAACACACACACACACAAATCAATTCTGTAACCTGTGTTGTTCCTGGTATTTTGATTTTTATTGTAACTCTACCCTGCTCTTGCCTCCTCTTTAGATTGGAAGTTTTCAGAGCAAGGATCACATCTTTGTATTTCTCTGGAAAGCGTCTATAGCTTATCTCTGGATGCTATCAGTCACTATTACTCAAGTTAAACGCCAGTCCTCAAGGAAGTGTTGCCCTCCTGCTACCCCACGCAAGTTTTCCAGAATCACAATATTTATACTTTACATTGTCCAGGTACAGCACTGGCAACAAGACATGTTATACTTATGTATTCTTTTCCTGCAACTAAAATTTCAAAGGACTACCGTTCCACTGTAGTGCCAATAAAAGGCTGGGATTCATGAGTTACTAATAAAAATTTAGTACACAAAGCCTTGAAGCACTGAGATAATCAATTCATAACTGGCTTCTAATCTTCAAATGAACAAACAAAAAACCCCTGTGATTTCCATACCTGCCCTCACCGCTTCATTCTGCGGTGCCTGCAGAGGAGTACCAGCAAGTGAAAGTGACCAGCGAGGAAAAGCAGAAGCAAGTTTCATCAAATTTAAAGTCAAAACTCTTACTTCAGACACATTAATTGGTGCTGTATATAAAAACAGTGGCTCAAAATGTTTCACTTCATTTGTATTCAAGAGTCGATAGGGACATAACCAATGCTCTTTGCGGTACTTCACAGGAGTTAGCCACAAGATGCAGAGGTGCACTAACGGTAGGTTCCTTAACTTTTTACTGCCTGCCGTTCCCTAACAGTAGTTCCTACCATCCTTATCCACCCAGGAGAAGTTTAGTTGTGTAGAAAGCACTTGGCTCCTAGTGCTGGGCACATGCAGCCTGTAAATACCAGGGCTTTATTACTACTACTGAACAATTTTAAGAAACTGACTTTAACAGCCAGACTCAGTCTTAAGGCAGTCTCCTACCTACAAGTAGAGTAGAAACTGGGGATTATATGTTGGATTTTATTAAGTTCATTGTTTTAGGTGCATATATATTCACTAGAAACTAGGAGACATAATAAATTAACTCAAAAACCACTGAACAGAGGAAAACCTTTCCAACACTAAATCTTA